TACGAAGTCCAAAGAGGTGTGCACTTCAATGTGTTCGGCACTATCCTAAGCTACATGGTCATCCAGCCCATTTTGTGGCGTTCTTGCAGAGATCGGCATTGAAAGCTGACGAAAACTGATTCTTGCCCGGATTATTCGTACGCAGGCAAAATGGACGCAGTGGTATTTGAGACAACAGCGTCGACCGCCCTCACCGTATGGCCCAACAACGGCACTGCTGCCGGCACGCCAGTATGCTCGGCGAACCTCACTGAATGCCGTAAAAGTTTCGTTGATCACATTCACCAGCGTTGTGATGATCCCTTAGGACTTCACAGAGTTGGCGAGTTGATGGACACAGGCAGCAGGTTGGAACAGGACAGTGCTTGCCTCAGCTTCCCATGCACATTGCCAATGACGGGTGGTCTGCCTATTGTTGGCAACAGTCACGGTGGGCTATGCAGTACTGGCGGCAATGATGGCGATGTTTCAGTCTCTGACTACGTGTTGGGCCTAAACTGCAGGTGTGACTGATGTGGATCTCGAGCCAGACGCCCTTTTTTGATGTACGCTAGAGCTGGCTGTTAACGTCAACACGGCCGTTAAATAAACATGGATGCTTGCTCAAGTCTGCCAACTTGCCTTTTGATCCCATGGTCCAATATTTAGATGCATGGACCTCCTTTGCAAAATGTTATTGCAGAATTCGATGGCATGAACTTCAGGGCGCAGGAGCTCGTGACAACATGTCCGACATGGAGAGCCTGACACTTGTAACAGATGTTTCACCCATTCAGGCCTATTCCGGCATGGAATCCGCCATGCTTCCCCGGGGAGTTATCCCGTTTGGCATCAATCGGCCCTTTGACGCAAAACTTCTATTTCAACCAAGTCTGCAAACGTGCACCCCTTCTCACCGCAATTACCGTGGTGAAGATGGTCGAGCTCTTTTGGAGTTGGGTCCTGGGAAATCCCGTGTGGTTGCTGGGAGCAGAGCGCTGGCAGCAGCACAGGAGCCCGAGCTAGGGCAACAGTCTGGAGCTGGCGGGTTCTCTCCCTTCACATGGAGCCCCAGTCGGGGCAGTTCACTCTTTGACAAGGTGTACGTGCTGAATGTGGGGAGCCATCCATTGTTACGAGTCCTGTTACATGTGAGAACGATGCCAGTTTATGATATTTTTTATTGCAATCGCTTACCCCAGGAATGGCTGTACGTCTGAAAACCGATTTCAGAATACATAATAATCTATTTACCTCATTTCTCGGGGTTTACTTGAATGTGGATTTCCTCTTCAACATGTATCCCTCGTACACATTTGATCAGGCGCCTTTGGAGGTACCGCTACAGCCAGGCGCAACGTTCGGTGGAGTGCTGGACTTACGTCGACCTATAGCCGTTGGAACGCTGCCGCTTCCTGGCCGGTTGGAAATGGCATGTTATGGAGTCGGCGTCCTCCTGGAGACCGAGGAGTTACTTTCACCTGTATGTAGGCGGCAGGTGCGAAGCTTATTCATGGATAGCAGGCTGTGTTACTTACCCATACTGCAAACTGTTGAGGCCCTTTGGCCGTTACGGATCTTCCTTCAGCTCTGGAAGTGGAACAGGTCTTTGCCATTGAAAGCTCGGTCGCAGTGATATTATGATGCGATCTTGGAGCCCTTTCCAAACCGCGAAAGGGATGCGTGGACCTGTTGGAGCGTGAGGAACTTGCTGCCATTCGAGGCTGACCAAACGCGGTAACATTGTATATTTTGGCCCGGTTGCAAAGTTGCATATTCACATGCCTGAGTGCCGGCTATGCTCTAAAATGTTTCTTTTGAACCCTTCGCGTAGGTAACGCGGGGTGGCGAAGACACCTTGAGTGGAACACCACTTGTTGTTCGGCGGCTTCATGCAGAGCACCACGAGCTGCCCTCTGACAGTGCACTCACCGCGTTTATGTTCACCTTGCCTGCTACAGCAACACCATCTTTTAGTACTCCGATGGTATCACTCCGATGGGTACTGCGCCTTGAGCTGATGGTCGGTCCTATTATGAATTTTGCAGCTGTGGACATGCGTATGGGTATGCGGCCACAACTAGAGCAACTGACCTGGTCGTTGCCATTGAGATTGAGGCCTCCTGTCATATTTACGCGTTAGGTGCTGGGGAATTATTTCTGAATCGGAAGTCCCTTCATGTCATCTTGCTGGATCGCTTTAAAATCCTGAAGTATGCATGTCGATACTTCCGTTGCCAGCTGCAGCGAAAGCAACATTACAAGGTGCAGCCTTCCGCGCCTCCTCCTTCGGTGAATCGCGTGATGAGGCAGGATGGCAGAAGTTACCGCGCTTGCAGGGGTGGAATCAAGAAAGTTCAATAAAACCGATGGTGTTGTCTGTTCAAAGTCCTGGTGACCCGTTGTATTGCATGGTGGTTAATAACATAATGTGGATGATTCCGAGGTTCAGTGCTTGTAAAAAGGTACGGTAGAGCGTTAGAGCCAAAATGTGGAGACTGCATAGGTAATGAGGCAGAGAATTTGGTGTCATAGTACACGGCGGCACGTGCAACCTCAACCGGGTGTGTCCTCATAAATGTTCTTGGGTGAGGCCCCGGGCGCGAAGCGCCTTTCGGGGCTTGGCCCCCTAGGTTCACTGCTGTCAGTCAGTCAGTCATGGTGTAACATTTCATCTTATTTCGCCCCGATTAAAATTGCGTCTGCAAGCTACTCTAATTTTCTATCGATGGACCAATGGAATTAATTGCGATAAATTTGAGGGCGAAGTTAGCTAACAGGGTGTTTCCACTTGGCCGCACACTAACTTTTGAACATTATCTTTAACGAGGACTTACAGGGAGTTTCCACTGGGAAGTCCGTTAACTATCTCCGGTAAAGTTATTGGCGCGCTAACAATGGCGAACAAAGCCTAACAAAGTACTGTTTCCACTAGCAGCCCCGAAACCATCATTTTCCCGTCTTTTAGCGCCATTTCGCTCCGGCTCGAGCATATTTTTCTTGAATTAAAGAGAAATGAGGAGGGCAGTTGTCCTGGCCCTGGCTACGAAGGAGTTGAGCCATTTCCCGCTGCTGAGCGGCCTGGGTGGCAGCATGGACATCGGCAGCGCTGAACAGTTGGGGCAGCGGACCCTGCATGGTCTGCTGAACGGTTGCCATGAAGGCAGTGTGCAGTGAAGTAGGCAAGTTCTCCGACGGAACCGGCGAGGGCGACTGGCTCTGCGACATTTCCGTTTTGGTCAACGGCGCAAGTCGGCAAGCAGTCAGGGTAGTAGACGGAAAGCAAAGTAATGACCGGGTGACATTAAAATTTAAAATGAAGCTACGAAATTTTCCGCGCTCAAAGTTAGCAAGGCGTATGGGCTGGTCGAAGGGAGCTCTAACTTTTGTGGGCGTATTGGATTGCTAACAAGGGCCTTGTCTCCACATGGGCCCTACGAGCTTCGCCGTCCCTCCGCCTTCCGTCAAACCTTTTGCATTTCTATCATTTATTTATATTGCGAAACAGAACGTGCAAAGCTGACGTCCCGGGTGAGAATTTTCAAAAAGGTCGCTAACAGACTTCCCAGTGACGACACCCTGTTAGTGTGTGGCTAGTGGACAGGTATTTCCACTAAGTGCCCCGGAACCATACGACAGGTTGCTATTAAGGCACTAAACCATTGTTATAGTAAGAGTGGGTGTAATTTAATGCGCAAATCATTACAGTTTGGTCGGCGAATTGCTGGAATGTGTGCAATTCGACCGGTCCTGCTGTGAATTCCACTGGTTAGCGGGCTATTTGCGGCTGTGGATAAAGGAAAATACAAAAGCCAACGTAGGGCCATGAAGAAGGAAAATGGCTGACTATGAATTTTCCCGCTCGGAAGTTAATGTCCACTTTGAAAGTTATCAGCAGGTCTGAGGCCCTGATAACTAGTGTGCCACTAAGGCGGACTTAGTGTCCGAGGCGTTTCCACTGGGCCCTTCGGCTTTTCGCGTACGGAGCCCCTTTACGCGATTTTTTTAAAGAACTTTTACTTTCTATTAATATATTGAACTAGTTTCTTATCGCTTGCATGATTTGCTGAGCCAGGTGTGAGATTTTTTGAACTTAATGCTATGCAAAGGTCCCGGACCCTTAGGGACCCGATACCATACGGCATCCCGGGACCCATACATTTCATTGCAGGTTATAACGATGCAAATGTTGCAAATATATGCTATTAAATTCGTTAACTCTAAACTGGTAAGCAGAGACCGGAGGTAAGCAGAGACACACGCCACTAGCTTGCATTCAACTTCTTCAAAACCATGAGATCAAAGGAGGTCCAATATATATATCAGTGGCAATCATATGGTCGTGTGTCGTTAACTACTTGATTGACGCTACTTGCACCCATGCTGAACGAGTCAATGTCATTCCTGTCAGCGGAGCAAACGTAATGAAAACTATAAAGTGAACCTGCAAATCCGTGAAAACAGAGAAGCGGCCCGAACCCGGCCCCAACCCGGCTCCCACGGCCTAAGGCTCCGTGCATTGTAGAAACGCGGCTACACCTTGCACCCCTCAACGGCCTGATGCCATACAACAAGAAGCTTCAGCAGCTGGTTCGGCGCCTAGCAGCCAAGCATCGGTGGTTCTATCCTTCTGGAGCTGTATGGCTGGCCCCACCCACTAACCACCTCTTGTGCTCTGTACGGCAAACGCAACCAGCCTTGCGCCTCTCACATGCCTGATGCCGAAGACATATAAGAAGAGACTGCAGCTGGACCTGTGCTGAAATCGTGTTCCCTGTCCTGTGGCCGGCGGTTTTCACCTAGAGTTGAATTGACGCAGGGTCCATTCCGGTTGTGTTTATTGTGGTGTCTTTGGAATGCGCACATGGGCTTTATATAGATTCCTATAGGTTGTCCCTTCATCCAGTTGGGGGTTGTCGTGGGGCTGGGGCTGGGCTGTCAGGCTGCATTCTTGCATGTGGTGTGCATGCAGGTGATCTTTCTACCGTCTATGTCAGGTGCAACGGTGCTTTGGAGTATCACAGCCGCATGATGAATTAAAGCATAAGCAAAATTCAAGAGTTAAAATGCATACACCCAGGTCCTTTGAACCTACAGGACGACTGCAAGTGACGACCAATTAGATTTGTCGTGCCACATGAGAAACCCTAAGCTAACAGATCCGAACTAGTTTGTAGCTACGGTTATCACGGTACAGGGCTCAACACATACATTGTAGCCCCCCAAAACTGCATCCTGCTGGCCCCGTGACCATCGTCAAGGTTGATTGTCCAAGGGACGGCGGCGCCATAGTCGTTGACCCCGTTGACGCCGCTGCCAAGCTGCTGTGCTGGCTGCGCCCCCCCGCCCCTGCGCCCCCCCATCCCGCTGGCCCCATGACCATCGTTAAGGCTGATTGTCGAAGGGCCGGCGGCGCCATAGTCGTTGACGCCATTGACGCCGCTGCCAAGCTGCTGTGCTGGCTGCGGCCCCCCGCCCCTGCACCCCCCCATCCCGCTGGCCCCATGACCATCGTTAAGGCTGATTGTCGAAGGGCCGGCGGCGCCATAGTCGTTGACGCCGCTGCCAAGCTGCTGTGCTGGCTGCGGCCCCCTGCCCCTGCTGAACAGTATCCCGCTGGCCCCATGACCATCGTTAAGGCTGATTGTCGAAGGGCTGGCGGCGCCATAGTCGTTGACGCCGTTGACGCCGCTGCCAAGCTTCTGTGCTGGCTGCGCCCTCTTGCCCCTGCTGGACTGCATTCCGCTGGCCCCGTGATCATCGTCAAGGTTGATTGTCCAAGGGACGGCGGCGCCATAGTCGTTGACCCCGTTGACGCTGCTGCCAAGCTGCTGTGCTGGCTGCGCCCCCCCGCCCCTGCGCCCCCCCCTCCCGCTGGCCCCATGACCATCGTTAAGGCTGATTGTCGAAGGGCCGGCGGCGCCATAGTCGTTGACGCCGTTGACGCCGCTGCCAAGCTGCTGTGCTGGCTGCGGCCCCCTGCCCCTGCTGAACAGTATCCCGCTGGCCCCATGACCATCGTTAAGGCTGATTGTCGAAGGGCTGGCGGCGCCATAGTCGTTGACGCCGTTGACGCCGCTGCCAAGCTTCTGTGCTGGCTGCGCCCCCTGCCCCTGCTGAACAGCATCCCGCTGGCCCCGTGATCATCGTCAAGGTTGATTGTCCAAGGGACGGCGGCGCCATAGTCGTTGACCCCGTTGACGCTGCTGCCAAGCTGCTGTGCTGGCTGCGCCCCCCCGCCCCTGCGCCCCCCCCTCCCGCTGGCCCCATGACCATCGTTAAGGCTGATTGTCGAAGGGCCGGCGGCGCCATAGTCGTTGACGCCGTTGACGCCGCTGCCAAGCTGCTGTGCTGGCTGCGCCCCCCTGCCCCTGCGCCCTCCCATCCCGCTGGCCCCATGACCATCGTTAAGGCTGATTGTCGAAGGGCCGGCGGCGCCATAGTCGTTGACGCCGTTGACGCCGCTGCCAAGCTGCTGTGCTGGCTGCGGCCCCCTGCCCCTGCTGAACAGCATCCCGCTGGCGGGTGGCCGTGGGTGAGGGCGGGTAAGAAAACCACGAAACCGCCCCCGCGTGCAGGCTTGCCTGCCTGCCTGGCACTACAACAGTGGTATAACAATAATGTTTAACTTGCCTGGCTTCTCAGAAAGGAGACCTGGACCAGCAATTGCTGGCAGTTCACGCGGAAAGATACCTGTTTTCCGCCGCAGTTGACTCTATACAACTTTGTGTAATCACCTTTGACACGACTAGAGAAGACCTGAGCATGCAGGTAGTCAGAGGTGAACGTTTTGTCTATGCCTAAACGTTCCAAGAAATCCTGCAGCTCGCTTTCTAAAGGAGTGTGCTTATGTTTACAACGGCAAATCGAACAGTTTCTATCGGAATCAACACCGCCAAAGGACTGACAGCTGTTCGCTTTGGCCATGGCCAGCGAAAAGCATGCCAGAGCCTGCTCTTTAGCGCATACGTTCCATAATTATAAGTTGTATAACAATATTAATCAGGATTCTTGAAAACGCGCTCACGCCCTGCTTATTTTTGCATATTTAGGCTGGGACCCCTAAGACCTAGATCCCCAGCCAAAAATCGGGGTCCCGTGTCGTACATATCGGGGTCCCTAGGGGTCCGCCAGGCTTACATATACCCCTGTTAATGTTAGTAGGCTTCCTAACACATTAACTTTCATATCTTGCCCCGCTTTAAATTGCGTCTGAAAGCTATTCTAATTCTCTATTGATAGACCAAGGGAATGAATTCGGTGGGGAACCTCAATGTTACGACTGTTTTCCTTCTTGGAGTGCAATATTTGGAGCGGAATACCGCAAAAAGTCATGGGGGTAAAGGAGCGTGTTGACTGGTTGTTGAGTAGGCCTCTACCCGAAGGAGCGATGATAACGGCACTAAGAGAGCGTTTGATGAGCGGCTGGGACCATGCGCGTCTGACTGCCTTGCCAGAGGAGTACCCATCAGATGGGAAGCAACCGGGAGTGCAAATGGTGAAGTATAAGCACTGGATGGGGCTGCCCTTTTCGGAGCCGCAGCCGTCATGTGGCCAACACATGCTAAGGTTTTCATTCCTCGCTTAGCACATCGTAAGCTAATGCAGTCTCGTTTATGTTGCTGGGCGCAAGTACCATGTCCCCAGGTGGCAGCGGTTTTGCCGCTGTCGTGGTACTAATAGCCGAATCGAGGATGAAAAACACGTGTTATTGGAATGCCCAGCCTATAATGATATTCGTGCTGAAGAGAGATTCGATCATCAACAGAGCATGTTGGAGGCCATGAAATGGGAGCCAGCACGTCTGGCGAGGATGTTAAAACGTATGTGGGCTCACCGAACGTATGTGGGCTTAACCGTCGGCTAATAATATTAGGGACTTCTGTATTTTTTTTCCTCTTTGGACGCTAGTCTGGGCTGATGTGCGGTGTTTCCTTTTCTCCGTGGCTTTTAGGCGTTGTAGTATTGTCCTTGGGCCTTCGGCTCGTATGGGTAGTTTTACAGGAATGGGATCATGCACCCCCAACCATGTAACACACACACACTGTAACAAAGCAAAGGCGTGACCCGGGATGCTCAGATGGGCCTTGCGTCGTTTCATTGCCCCCCGCAATGGACGTCCGCGGCCATTATTTCGAGCATAGGAGCCATCCCACTTCACGCTTTCTGCGTTAGTTTATCCATTACACCATAATAAAGCCGTTGGCAATATTTACTTGTTGCCAGAATCGAACCGCCGCCCCGAAGATTACATCGGAAGACGTGCGGCCCCGTCGCGATACCATTGTAACAAAGCAACGGCGTAACCCGGGCCTTGCGTCGTTACACATACACACACACACACACACACACACACACACACACACACACACACACACACACACACACACACACACACACACACACACACACACACACACACACATAGATATATCTGCGGCCGAAGATAGCTTTCCAGGATGAGATCGATTTACATATCTCACTCCGCTAAAGATTGCATGCAAAAACTATACTAATTCTTTATTGATTGGCCAAAGGAGAACATTCAGATACATTGGAGCACGAAGATAGCTTTCCATGGCTTCGAGTTTGACTTCCCCTCACGCCGCAGCCCTTGCCTCTGACGTCGTTGCATGTCCCTAACGTTATAGATTCATAAGCAAACGGCATGATCCTTTATGGGTTGGTTCCTTCATGCTCGGCAACTTTATGGGTTGGTTCCTTCATGCTCGGCAACTAATGGCGACGCTCAAAGCACCTCCCTCCTGGCGTCTCGCTCGTGCCTGTTTGATTGTTGTCCTTCTTATTCTCTTCTTCATTGTCTTCTTCATTCATTCAATCCAACTTCAAACGTAGTGTGCCTTCGCGACAACCATCAGCTTTGCCGCTGCATTCCGACTTCAAAATGTGCAATTGGAACGATCCCCAAATGCGTTCTGGCTGGGAGCGGACAACAATTGGTCCATAAAGCACGAGCGCTTAGGCGCGCCTTGAACTGCCAGCCAGCGGACCGAAGGGCCGGCGTCGAACATGGATGCAACGGTAGTACCACCTACATATCGGGCAGTCCCGACTCATGGATTTGGCGCAGCAGCGGCAATACACGTTGCCGCAATGAGGCTCCTGCTTTGTGTGTATGTCATTCTACGGATTGCCGCACCAAAAGAAGGCTGACTCTTCAGTCAATAATGATTATGCTATGGCGGCTGCGCGCTTGCGACGATCCAGACAGGTCTACGCCGCCATAGCAAGTTTGCCGACCTTTGAGAATCTCAAATAGGGCTGGGAAATACGGTTACGGTCCTTACGATATTGCGCATTACACCGTAAGCAATTACGGTGACCCCCCAAAAAACACCGTAAAATGACGGTCCTTACGGTGTAATGTAATTACGGTTACCAAAAGGTCAAAACTACGGTCGGACCGTAAGCGTGCGAGCCAATCCCGACGACCACACCTCGAAACATGCCATTTCGTCCCTTGGCGCAGCTACGGGATAGTCTTAAAATGCCTTTTCTGTTTAAGCGTACTAACTGAGGCCGTGTGTCCAGTGAAGTTAGTACGGCCTGGCCGAGTTCTTTTTGAATAAGGCCCACAGTGTTGTGCGGGAGGCGCTCCTAGGGGCGCTGCACTCGACCCGTTCGGGGTTCACTGTAACAATCGCATCTTAAAAAGCTTGAAAGGCTCACGACATTAACCTATAATTAAATTATCACAAAAGACAGCCAAAAATCGTTATATGAAAGGAAAGAAAGGATTTGGCTCCGACAACGAGGACCGTAAATCGTTACGGTCCACTTTGCCCCGGAACCCACCGTAAATTTCGATATTTACGGCGTTGCGCATTATACCGCGGTATAACGGCCGTTAGCAATTACGGTCCATTTTATGGGATTACGGTGTTTTTCCCAGCCCTAATCTCAATAACAAGTGTGTACTCCAAACGTGGCGGCGTTCTTGTGCTTGCACTCCTATGCCGTACGGACTGCCCTGCGAATTAAAGGGGGGTCAAGTCAGTGTTCGGGCCGAAACGTAAACCTGCCGAAACGTAAACCTGCCGAAACTAGTTTCGGTGTTTCCAGAGGGTTGCAAAAACGGTCTAATCCCCCAATCCCGGGGGGTGGTAGTGGTCAGCCATCCCCCCATCCTGGCTGGGGTGACCGACTCCCATCTCCCATCTTAGGGGCCCGGCGCTAATCCCATCCCTTGAGACAGGTTTCCCATCCTGCCAGCCTGGGTCCCATCCCCAATCCTATGGCCAGGGTTTCCAATCCCATCCTGCGGCTGTGTTCCCCCAATCCTCAACCTGCCAGCCAGGGTCCCTTCCCAATCCCTTCGACCAGGGCCATCCCCATCCTGCAGCTGTGTCCACAACCGAAAGCTGTCAGCCAGGGTCCCATCCCCATCCCTTGCCAGCTACAAACCTACTCCTTACGTTTACACAGGTGCTGTAATATCGGCTTTCTCTTTAGGCGTAAATCAGGGGAATTGACCAGGGTTATTTTCTATTTCCGCGCGGTATTTTTCTCTTGCTCTATGGCTTATTTCCTCTAGCGTCAAATTCCGCCCGGCTGTGTTCGTTCCGAAGCAGACTGAAGCGACAAACGCTCGTTGAAGCGGATCTCGACTGAGGAGGAACTCGCATCACAGAGGTCTACGTATCTAATTGCACACTGGCTGCTAGTGCAAATAGCGCGTCCTAAGGGGGGAAGGATTGTTATGTTCGATAGACGGCCACAACAACAAATTATAATGCTGTGCTTAGAATGGCAGAACATACAAGGGTGTTCTGTCAAAAAGTCCATGGCTGGGAACGTGCTGATGATGGCGAAGGAACGGGTGCACCATTGGTTCACCCATAGCATAGGTCTTCAGCTGCACAGTCCGGCGCCAACATTCCACGTTGGGTGCGCCAAAGCGCTACGACAAACAACCTGACAACATTACATTAAGCCAGGCATTCCAATTGGAATGCTTTTGAGTCTACTTGGACTTCTGAGCAAGAATTGCTCCTATGCACTAAGACATTTTGTCGCATGTGCAGAGTTACGTGGAGTTGTGCCACAACAAGACCATGAAGACTGCAAACTTTCTCAGAATTGTGCATACTGGCTTGGGAATGATGATGCG